ACTACGAATGGCGTCTCCCTCTCCTAATTAGCACTAGAAAGAGCGATGCAGTATTAAAAACCCCCACGTTTTAAGAGAAAAAAGGCTACTTTCCGCCGAACAAAGCGGTTACCACCACGAGGGACTCCAGCCGTTCAAGTAGTAGAGGCAAGGCAGGTACTGCCAGCCGCCCCGCAGTGCCAGCAGCGATGCTCCGGGGAGCTCGGCCGCTTTCTGCCCGGCCAGCCGCGTGTCCAGTCTGCTGATTTCAGAGGCGACCTGTTTCCTCTTGGTTTTATACCTCCTGTTCTGGAACCAGATTTTCACCTGGGTCTCGGTGAGCTGCAGGTTTTTGGCCAGGTGGGCTCGCTCGGGGGCCGACAAGTATTTTTGGTGGCTGAATTTCCGCTCCAGTTCGATGACTTGGGTGTGGGAGAACGCCGCCCGCGAGCGTTTCGCCTGCCTGGGGGGACGCTGGGCGATGGGCAGGGGTCGCAGGGGGGGGTCGCAGTCTGACAGGTAGGTCTCCGCCGTGGCATCTGTGGGAGGCAAGAGCTGAGAATTACCCACTTGAAAATCACCCAAACCCTTCCAGAGAGCAAAATATTCGTATTATCTTGGAAATATTTTCATTTAATGGAGTGAACACTGTCTTAAAGTCATATAAAGGAGTTTTTTTCTTCCTAAATCACACTTTCTTAATCCATATACGCATGCATTCAGTATGAACATACATTCAAGGGACTAAAATAATACAGAAAGGGTTATTTTGCAATGCTGGCGGAGGTCTGCCTAAAACCTCAAGGTACTGTTGTTACGTACATTATGGCATCGACAGCTCTCGAGATTTTTATTGCAGCTTTCATGCTATTAGGCACTTCTTTGAAACATCCTCTCTGCTGTGCCTATGGGAAAATCCTAATCCCCAAAGAAAACCAATGTTTATCCTCAAGGTACGGAGGATAGCTCCGAAATGGGAAATTGGGGCAGCTTAAAGCAGACTGCAGCATTGGAAATTAATTCCTCCCTTTTCTCTTTCACGACTCCAAGGCAATGCCAAGAAATTTTGGGGCAGATTTTTTAAACCTTCAGGCCTGGGTTTACATATATAGCTGTATATATATAGCAGACCTGGCCTCGGATCACAGCATCTCAGTGTTTGCCTGCGACTTATTTCTTGTGGCACCGATGGGTCACCTGAGCCGCGACCCAGAGAGGTGCTGAGCTCCCTGGGAAGTGTCACCTATAACTGTTAAAACTTTTAAAGTCAACTTATTTATGTGGTTAGTTCCTTTTTGTGTATCACCCAGCTTGGGATGGAAATAGGCCAATTATTTTTTTTTTTCCCCTTTAGTAATTTCTTAGTATATTTTCTTAAGATGTGAACATAATACTCAAGATAGAAACAACAGGCTTAATTCCCAGCTTGTGTAAATCATGCTTGACCCGCTGAAATCCCTGGAGCTGTGCTGATTTACACTAGCCACTTTCTGGGAGATTTGGTACGGCTCTTAATGATTTTTGTAATAATCAGCGTGGTGGCTGTTTCTGAACTTGCTTTTATGTAGAAGCTTCTTTTAATAGAATTGAAAAGTAAAGCCAAAATTCCCCTGGCAAGGGCTCTCTTAGCAAGCAAGAGCCGGTCGCTAGAGAGTTCAAAATTGCTTTTTTGGCTGTTGCAGTTCAGCCCAGGACTGCTTGGGCAAGGACAGGCTGCGTCCCCTCCCGCAGCCCCGGCCGTCCTCCTGCTGCTGCACTGGTCACAAAAATTTCCTTCTGAGTGTGATTTTCCGTATGTTGCTTCTGCAGTGAAACGTTATTGCCTGCAATGAATTTAGCAGTTGCATGCTAGGCGGAGGTGCTGGTAGGGTTGTATCGAGAGGAGCAGGATCGTTATTAATAAACCAGGCGATGTGCAGTGGTACAGGCAGGAGCACGCAGCCGAGCACCCGGGAAAGCCGAGTCCTGCTGCAAACGGCACAAATTCAACACGGGGACTTTCCAAATATCCCCGGACCGGAGGCACCGAGGGGCTCGGCTGCACACGCGCTGACGGCCACGTGAAGGACGGGCACAAACCGCCTCTCGGAGCTGGCAGCCCTCAGGTGCCCTCGCTGGCGACCTTCTGCGTTAAAAGGGAACTTTATTTCCCAACATACGGCAGAAATCCATCGACTGGGCTTTATCGAAACAGAGTTTTAGGCAGATTCAGTCCTTTGAGTTATTTGAAGTGGCAAAAGGTTTGCACGCAGTTGCTATTTCTCATACTTTCCCACTGCTAAAGCACAGATACTCCCCGGTATTTAAAGCCCGGTTTATTTGGCTCTGGGGGGCTTGAGGCAGCCGGGGCTGGATCCTGCCCCTTGGTTGACCCAAGCGTAGACATTGCTGATCCGTTCCCC